CACACACACACACACACACACACACACACACAATGGAGTATTAGTTGGCAATCAAAAAGAATGAAGTCTTGCCATTTGCAACTATGTGGTTGGAACTAGAGGATATTATGCTGAGCGAAATTAGAGAGAGACAAGTATCATATGACTTCACTCATATGAGGACTTTAAGACACACAACAGATGAACCTAAGGGAAAGGAAACAAAAATGTAAAAACAGGGAGGGGGACAAAACATAAGACTTTTAAATATGGAGAACAGAGGGTTACTGGAGAGTTGTGGGAGGGGGGATGGGCCAAATGGGTAAGGGGCATTAAGGAATCTACTCCTGAAATCATTGTTGCACTATATGCCAACTAATTTATATGTAAACTTAAAAAAAAATTTTTTTTTTTAATCTATAAATGAAGAGTCACTGAGACAGACCCTGAGTAGTCAGATAATAAAGCCAGTACTTGAATCCGGATCTCTCTAACTTTGTTCTAACCACAGATTCCCTATTCTCTACCCTGCCTTATTCCCCATTGATGACACCTTTGGTACCACCTATTTAAATAAGTTGCTTACAGGGGCACCTTGGCTGACTTAGTTGGTAGAGCATGTGATTCTTGATATTGGAGTTGTGAGTTTGAGGCCCACTTGGGCAAAGAGCTTACTTTAAAAAATAGTAAATAAGTTGCTTACAAAGCCATGGTATTTGTGCTAGCTGTACCCTTAATTAAGGGAAGATGTTACAGAAGAAAGCAAGCTTCCAGGGTGCCCTTGTGGGACTGAGATAAGAAAGTGTTAAGAAAACTTTTTTTTTTTTTTTTTTTTTAAGTGCTAAGCTCAAGTCTGGTACGTGAGGTAGGTGGTGCTGTATTCCAAGAATGTAGCCAATTTTTTTGTGTCCAATATACTTATCTCATCCTTGAGATTCTTCCTTAACGAAGATACTGTAGGGCACCTGTGTGGTTCAGTTAATTAAGCATCTGACTTTGGTTCAGGACATGATCTCACAGTTTGTGAGTTTGAGCCCCGCTTCTGTCTCTCCCTCTCCCTTTCTCTCTCTCTGCCCCTCATGGGATTTGCGTGTGCTCTCACGCTCTCTCTCAAAACAAAGATACTGTAGCCTGTATCCACCCTTCCCACCCTTATTTTCTTTTGATTCTGATTCCTTTATCTGACTACTGTCATCACCATGGTCAACATCAGCAGAAACAGGGAAAAGAGAACTAAAAGAGAACCAATCCGGTGTAAGTGTCCCATTCCATACTCCTGAATCAGGCCAAGCTACCTTCTGCCTCTGCTAGGAGAAAGAAAACACCCTGAGAGTTGGTACTGACTTGGAACAAAGGAACTTGATTGTTCAGTAAGCCAGTATACCTCTCTCTCACACCTGGTCTTCAAGGAGAAAAACCTACCACTGTGGAGGAAAGCCCAGAGGCAGACCTGTATTACCTGTCTGAACTAAAACCCAGCAGCTGTTGACTGCCATTACTCAGCTGAGCCCAGAGTTGTTCAGTTGATTTTGACCAGTCAGACACCCGAGTGCAGCGGCTGACCTAGGCAGCTTCTAATGGAATTCTGGTGTCTCGAGGGACTATGTCTCAGTGATCCCAGACTTCTGGTATTTTCTTGTCCAGGAGAATGTAACAAGGGTCAGAAAAAAGCCCCACTTTATGGAGACTGAAGCCCATTGAGGGTCAGTGGCTTGTAAGAAGCAGCAGAACTCACACTCCACTGTCAGGGCTTTGATTCTGCTCACCAGCTAGTAATACCTAGTGGATAGGCGATTTCTGGGCCTCTCTGCCTCCCTCCCCTTCTTGCCCTCAACTGTCACAGTCACATTCATCCTTTTAAGACCTTCTTGAAATCGGTCATCTAACAAACATTTGTGGACTGAGCGTCTAACCTGTACAGTTAATAAAGTAGAACTTAAACATGTGTGAGTCCTTGCTACTTCGAGGCGTGGTGCCCCTAACAGCACAGCTCTTTTCCACTCTGTACTCTTTTGCTAAGTTCTCCATTGGTGAGCATGGGACCAAATCTCACTGTGCCTTGTGGATGTCAGCTCTCTTTTTTCCTGCCTCCAAGAGCAGCATTTTCTAAGCAGTTGCTGGCAGGCTAACCAGCAGTGCCACCAAATGAGGGCAGCTGTGCCCTCTTCCTTCTGGCACACTCTTTGCCCCCCTTCTCTTGCAGTTGATGCCCAGTGACGTGACTGAATGGGGTCTTCTTGGGCCAAGGCAGCTGAGGCCACAAGCTGGGCATTCAGTCAGCTTGTTCCCTGCTCTATCCTGGCTGCCTTCTGCAAGGGGAGGAAATAGGGTGGGAGTTAGCTAGCTGAGCCTAGGCTCCCAGCCAAGCCCCTTCCTTCTGCTTGGGCAGACTGGGTACTTACTCACGCAGCAAGCCTTTATTAGGCACCTTCTGTGTACACTTGGGAGAAACCCTACCTCAGAGAGGGAAAACAGAGCTGAGACCTTTTGCAGGAGCCTGGCATCCTTAAAGAGCTCTTGTTCTCAGAACCTTTTCCTTTTTGACTGGAGGTCCAACATCCGCTGGAGCCCCCTGCTGGGTGGCCCCTGGAGATGAGAACAAAGAAACTGTTAACATTAATGAGGCGCATTGAGTGGGTACTTCCGCCATCTCCAAAGGCAGGCAGGTTTTTCCTCTTTCATTTTGGAAAGTGACAGCTGACAAGGGCCAAACAGACTGTTTTTGGCACTCAGGACTTAAAGATTCTCTGAAACCTTTCTTTTCAGTTCCCTCCCTGCTGCCCTGTCATTATTGCCACCCCCCACGAGGAAATAAATAAAGCCTTTTGATCTTCACCCAGTCAGGCCGAGGGTAAGCTGTAAACAAAAGTGAACTTGTGACATAAGGCTAGGGGAGGGATTTTGGCAGCTTATTCCTCTGCTCCTGAAAAAAAGACATCCTGTTTGCTGAGCCAGGATGCCCACCCAGTGGGTATGGTGCCCCAGCTGCCAAGGCACAAGAGAAAGCTGCTGCCTCACCGGCCACTGCAGACTGAAGGGCAGTCACTCCAGGCACCCTCTTTACCAGAGCGTCTGCCTAGAGCCTTCACTGCTGAGGCCAACAGGTAGGAACTTGGAGAGATTTCCACTTAGAGGAGCAACCTTCAGTTACTTCTGTGAGAATTGGCCAAGTTCAGGCTCTCCAAAATCCGGGACTTTGAAAGTTGCTCTGCTGTTCTGATCTTTGGTGGCCTCATTTGTAAATGAGAAGCCTGATAGTACCCACCTTCTAAAGCAGTAGCGAGGATTCACCGAGAGCCTGTCACCTGGCACAAGGCCTGGCTAGTTGTGAGCGCTGACTGAATGTTAGCAGTGCTTGTTACTTGGGGGCTCAGTGAGGCCGGGTCTAAAATGAAGACTAGGGATAACTTCGTTAACCCCTACTCCACCATAGGCCCTCAAGAGGGGAATCTAGAAGGGCTGGTTGGCTTGGCACTGATGAGCTCCCTCTCCTTCTTTGCTCTCCTTACCCTTCTCTCTCTCTAGGGGACACTACACAGAAAATGAGAGCTGCTCACTATCCTACCCCAGCCGAATTGGACGCGTATGCTAAGAAGGTCGCAAACAACCCACTGACTATAAAAATCTTCCCCAACAGTGTGAAGGTTCCCCAGCGGAAACACGTTCGTCGTACTGTGAACGGCCTCGACACATCAGCCCAGCGCTACAGCCCCTACCCGACTCAGGCAGCCACCAAGGCAGGCCTGCTTGCCATTGTCAAAGTGCCAGCCAAAAGCATACTCAAGGACTTTGACGGCACCCGAGCCCGATTGCTCCCTGAGGCCATCATGAACCCCCCAGTGGCGCCCTATGCTACTGTGGCACCCAGCACTTTAGCCCACCCCCAGGCCCAGGCTCTGGCCCGCCAGCAGGCCCTGCAGCATGCACAGACCCTGGCCCATGCCCCTCCCCAGACGCTGCAGCACCCTCAGGGTATCCCGCCACCCCAGGCGCTGTCCCACCCTCAGAGCCTCCAGCAGCCTCAGGGCCTGGGCCACCCTCAGCCCATGGCCCAAACCCAGGGCTTGGTCCACCCTCAGGCCCTGTCTCACCAGGGTCTCCAGCACCCCCCCAATCCCTTGCTGCATGGAGGCCGGAAGATGCCAGACTCAGATGCCCCCCCGAATGTGACCGTGTCTACCTCAACTATCCCCCTTTCAATGGCGGCCACCCTGCAGCACAGCCAGCCCCCGGACCTGAGCAGCATCGTGCACCAGATCAACCAGTTTTGCCAGACGAGGGCAGGCATCAGCACTACCTCAGTGTGTGAGGGCCAGATCGCCAACCCCAGCCCCATTAGTCGCAGTCTGCTCATCAATGCAAGCACCCGGGTGTCGACCCACAGCGTGCCCACGCCAATGCCTTCATGTGTGGTCAATCCCATGGAGCACACCCACGCGGCCACAGCCGCGTTGCCTGCCGCAGGCCCTGTCAACCTGCCCACGGGCATTTCTCGAGCCCCTGCTGGCTACCCTAGCGACCTCAAGCCAGTCGCCTGGAACCAGCACCAGCTGGCCCACCTACAGCAGATGTGCAGTGAGGCCGGTGGGACGCCGGCCCCTGGCCTGACAGGCAAGCACGCAGCAGGACGCGAGTTGGCAGGGCCTGGCTTTGTGGGCAAGGCCCCTGCCTACCCGCAGGAACTCTGCCTGGCACAGTCCTTCCATCTGAAGCCACCCCTGGAGAAGCCAACCCCATCCCCACCTGTCAACGGCCTGGCGGCCCCACTGGCCTACCCCAATGGTCACTACTTCCAACCCCTGTGGAACAACATTCTGCCCACTCCCAATAGCGACAGCTCGGGGTCTCAGGACCTCGCCATGCCGTTCCACGGTGGGCAGCCCACGGGTGCACCCCTTGACTGTGGGACGGCTGCTGGGGCCCACTACCGAGCAGGGGCCGGGGGCGGTCCAGTGGCAACCCAGAACAGCTTGATGCAAACAGTGGATTACCTAAGCGGGGATTTCCAGCAGGCCTGCTTTCGAGAACAGAGCCTGGCTATGCTGAGCAAGGCCCACCGAGCCCCTGGCAACCGAGCCCCTGATCCCGCAGATAGTCGAAATCTTCATATTCAGCACCCTGGGTATAGATAGGTAGCCCCGGTGCCCTCCACAAGCTACACGTCATACATCACCCTCCTAGGTTTAGACTTACTTTTGAGTAATTGGATAGTTTCAGAGTTTCGCTGCTCCAATGTGATCATTCTTAGAGGTCTAAGAAAGGGAATTTGGTGGGATCTATTTGAGGACAGCGGGGGATCCCCTGGTGCCCTCACCGTCCCCTCCACCATCCCCAGCAACTTCTGGGTTTATGTTAGGACCTAATCCCAACTCCAAGCTTTTGTCTCTACTGCCTATCAGTCCCTCCACCTTGACCATTTCCCCCCAGCCACCTCCTGCCTTTTCTTGCATCTCTGCCCGTTTTCCTTAGGACTGAGGTGTGGGGTAAGGAAGGGCCCTAGGTGAGGTGGCCGTAGGTACCCAGCCCCTTAAGCTAGGACTTTCCCTGTCTGCCTCTGTCTCTTTGGGACTAAGAACCCAGACTTCCCAAGTGCTCTGGAAGTTAATTCCTTCTTCACCCAAAGATCTCAAAACTGACCCAATCTTCACCTCCTCCCACCCCTCTCCATTCCTCAGGGCTTTGTTTAAATCTGGATTCCAGAGTCACTGCATTTGCCCTTGCTACATTCAAGGGCACCCTGTAGGCACTTGGCCATAGCCTTGAGACCTGGGGGAAAAATGCGTCTTTGTGTTGGTATCTTAGTTCCTGACACCCCTTTCCAGCCCTAGAGAAAGGTAGTAACTGTCCAGCACACCCAAGATCCCTTTCTCACTGTTTCTCTCCCAACTCACCTGCTGCTCCCATCCCCCACACCCCTCCAAAAACACAAGCAAAACAAAATAGGATCTTGAGGAATTAGGTAGGTAAAGAAAGGATGATCACATTGGAGTTCGGAATTAAAAACACCAAAAAAAAAAAAAAAAAAAAAGTTAAAATGCATTTGGTTCTCTACACTGGCTAAGAATATTGCTCTACACTGTAAGTTTTAAATGTCCTGTTTCTGTATGAATGTAGTGTGGGTTTGAGTAGCGTTGTGTGAGCGGCCCCACAGGTACATTCACCCTCTAGTCACCTCCTTTTGCAGCCCCTCAGTATAATGAAGAAAGAAAGAAAAAAAAAAAAAAACACAAAGCCTTAAGCTCTTTGAATTCTTCCTTTACCAAATGAGCATGGTTCTAACAGCTGGAGGCGGACCTACATTGGAAGCAGCCCCTCCTGCCCGCGCCCATCTGTCACGTGCCCATCCTCCACCCCACGCTCAACGTGTTTCATTCCCAAGTGGCAATTAGTTGGCTAGAAATTTAAAACTTTTCTGTAACTTTAAATTTAGATCATGTTTTGTAATTTTTTGCACCCTTCTGTTAAAGTTGGGCTCTGCCTTTTTTTTTTTTTTTTTTTAAACCAGATAAGCCCTTACCTTTCCTCTTGTCTCTGGGGAATGTGAGCTGATGTTCTTATTTAAGATTTGGGGTTTTGTTTACTATACTATCCACTGTTCTTTAGCCAGAAATTCTCTAGTGATCTGAAGCAATGTGACTGAAGACCAGTTTTTAAATTATGTGTTGGCAAGATGCCTTATATTTAAAAAGAGAAAAAAAAAAGAAAAAGAAAAAAAAATGCCTGATTGTGTTATGCCAAATGATAGCAACATGAAGTCCTAATTTATTTTCCTGCCGTCTGTGAACACTGGTACCTCCCTGTCCCTGAGCCCTCAGGAGCACCTGCAGCTTCTGGCGCAGCGCCTTCTCCCAAGGCTTCACCGCCACCGTCTCACCCAGGGTCCCTTCCGGTTCTCACTTTCTCTGAGAGAACCCCACCGTCCCCCCTTATCCCTTGCTTGATCTCCAAACCAGATATTTTTGCTGTGAGTTTTTCCAATGCCTCTCCCCAAAAGGTGAGCTGCTATCTTAGGAAATGGGACCGGACACCAACTTGGGGGCTTTAAATCGAACCTCAAACCCTCAAATCTCTTCCTGTGTAGGGGTGCAAATCTCTGAAGCTCTCACTCCCACCCCTAGTCTGCATGGAAAAATGTACTGTGGCCCCTCTTCCCCCCCACCCCCCACTGCCCTTGCCTTTGGTGTGAGATGTTTCCTAGTTCACCCTGAGCCTCTCTCCCCCCTCTGCCAGCCAACCCCCAACCAGCAATAAGGGTCCAAGCCAGGGCCTCCTATCCACACTCCCTGCCTCCATCCCACGCTGCCCCTAGGGAATACCCCAGATTCCCTACACTGTCCACATACTGTAGCATTCATTCTCCATCTCCCTCATCTGCTCACCTGTGGTGGTTTATGGGTGTGATGGGGTTTTTAAGATTATTATAAACCAGTAAAAAGAAAAAACTCACCAGAACTTGTCCTATTCGTTGAATGCTGTGAATGTTTGAGGTGACTTTTCTTGTAATGATTTCTGACGTGCCTGCTCTCCACGAGAGAAGCGGGTCCTCAGTTGTAGGACGCGAGCCCTTCTAGTGTTGGGCCCACTCGGAAGCCTCCCAGTCTGTGATGCCAGACCAGGTGCTGCGGTGATTGGGCAGCCGGCACGTGATAGGGCCTCCCCTAGGCGGGGCGCTCGGGGCGTGTTGGGACCCGTGGGAAAGTGTGGTTTACCGCCCCGCTCTACAGGCTCCATGTGCTGCCACTTTCAGTCCACGGACCGTTGAAAAACCAGGATCTGCTTTGCTGATGAGCCAGCCGAAGACTAAAACGCCCCTCCCTCCCCTTCTCCCACCTCCACCACTTTGGGATTTCTGAGGGCCTTTGACAGCTGGAGGTAATAGGTGCCGCAATCTGTGACCTGAAAAGCGGCCCCTCCGAGTACTGATGGAATCGAAAGTACAGTTCCCTTCGGAGCACGCCCTTCTCTGTAAGGTGCCCCTGCCTCCTTTACTCCTCACGCCATCCTTGTGAAAGAAAGCCTTCTACCTGGGTCCCCTACCCGCAGTCGGCCCAAGGTCCTGCAGCTAAGTAGACAGGTGAACCCAGCTCTGCCTGGCCTCTTTGGGCAGATGCGCGGGGAGACCAGCACCTCAGGTTTTGCCTAGTTCCACATAGCGATTCTGACCGTCTGCAACAGCACTGGAATGAGGTCTAGGCCTGGGTGTGGGGGCAACTCTGGGAGGCACCATCCGGCTTTCCCAGTCAGTGCGCCCCTGGAGCGGTGCAGTGACACGGTCCTGCCGGCAGAGGGAGCCCAAGCTTGACCGAGGATGTCCGGCTTCTCTTGGGAGACAGATGCCGGCCGGGTCGCCTATTACCTGCCGCAGGAGCTGAAGAGAAGGCATTTGCTGGAGCCCCTGGTAGCCGGTGGTTTTCCCTGCGGGCTTCCAGGCATCGCTGTGCCAAAGGTGGCTTATCTGGAGAAGGGGCCATCTTTCCCAGCCGGCAGCCAGGGCCCCATCTCCCCCCTAGATCAGTGAATTTGACCTTTTGAAGGCTAATAAGCTGGTAGTTCCCCAGGCTGAATGTCAAGGGTCTTTCCACCTCAACCTGTGTGTGGGAGGGTGGAAAAGGCAAACACTACCACCCTTGAACCTTCTCCTTAGTAGGTAATAGTTGCCATACATCGGGCCTCTTCACAGGGCCAGGCAATAAGAGTAAGGGACTTTATGCTGATTAATCGTAAAGTTTACAAGTCTAGGTAAACAGGATTACTTTCATTTTACCAATGAGAGTAACGGTGCCCCATGTAACTAAGCAACTTGGCAAAAAGCAAGCACAGCAAGGATCCAAACCCAACTCTGCTGCCATTATTGAAGGGAGCTGTATTACTAGGGATTGCTAGAGCTTAAAACCGAATCCAGGCCCTGTCCCAAACCAGCTGAAAGACACTGAGAAATCAGTTCACTCCTCTATTCCTATTTCATCAGTCAAATGTGGATAATCACAGGCACTCACTGACGGCTGTATGAAAAATAAATGAACATGGATGAGAAAATCCAAATACCCTTCAAAAGGCCCTCGGCTCAGCCTAGTCCCTGGGTATGGGCTGGGCTTTGGAGTTGGATTAACATTCTGTCAAGCACGTTTTGCGCTGGGAACAAGCATCGTCTCAGTAAATCTTCACCACAGCCGACTGAGCCGTCCTTTTAGTATGGCGATAGAAGCGATTTCGTTTGCCTGTTGTATTAAACGAATAATGTACATTCGTGCTTAGGAGTGTCTGCTACACGACAGCTATGATCATTAGACCAAGAAAGACTTGCCTGGGGGCAGAAGCAGTAAGTAGTCTTTGGTGGGGTATGGATCAAGGACTCCAGGCTCGTAAAATGCACCTCCCCCATTTAACCACCAGATGGCAGCGGCAGGCAACTGTCTTCCGCACAAAGCCTAGTGCAGTTCCCCTGTCGTCCGCCAGAGGGCGATCCAGCAGCGCAGAGCGGCAAGCAGCACGGCGACCTTGGCCCCGCGCCTTCCCTGTTGGGCCCAGCCTTAGGCGGCCCTAACCATCCCAGATAAGTCAGGCTGGAACCAAGTTAATAAATACAATTCAGGATTTATTAAAAACCAGGGCTCCCCTGCCGTGCCCTCCTGGCACTAAGTAAATAAATAACCAGAGGGGGCACAGCTGGGGAAAGGGGAAGAGAAATCAGATCTCAAGACAGATTCTTTGAACTACCCCTCACATCCCCACTCCCACCCCCCACTATGGCTCTTGGGACATAGCACCAGCAGGCGCCTCAGTCCTGGGTAGAGTGTGGCCGGCACCAAGGCATGTCTTCCCTGCCCAGGAGAGGAGACAGGCCCTGGGATCACTTTTTCCAAGCCCTTGATGACCCCAAGACCTGCTCCCCCCAGGGGCCAGGGCTGAAGCACCAATAGGAGGCACCTGAGGGTGGTAAGGAAGAGGAGAGGGGGAACAGAACCTGGGCAGCAGAAGCAGCTGAAAGGGGGTCCGGCCCCTTCTCCAGGTTCAGCCAGTTCCTGGCTGAGGTCATGCTCCACCCCCTTTCTCCTGGAGCCCTGCCTGCACTCAGCTGAGGATCTTTCGGGGCAATTCAACAGAGGCACGGATGAAGACCGCATCATCCCGCACGTAGTTTCGCTTGCGGATATCCTGGTGGGAGATGAACTTGGGGTAACCAAAGCCCAGAGAACTCTCATCCAGGGAGCCCCGCCAAGTGCCCGGTTTTTGGAAATTCTTCCAGTTTGGGTCAGGGTGAAAGGTCTCAGTGACATGCTGTGGCTTAGCCAGCCCGGGGTCGCTCTGATCCAGCAGGGAGAAGGTGACGCGGCGGGCAAACGGCCACTCCAGGAGATTGTCAAAGGCACCCGGCAGCACGCGAATGTAGAGCGAGAGGTGCGTGCCCTCACCGCTGCCATTGCCATTGAGGAACGCAGACACCTGCAACTTGTAGCCATACTTGTGTGTGTAGAAGGCCGGGCTGAAGCACTCCAGGTTGGGCTTAGCCTTGGCCTCCTGAAGCCGCCGTCCATAGCTGCCGATCTTCCAGATGAGCACGCCGTCACTGCCCACCGACAGCTCCTCCAGCTCTCGCCGCAGCTCCTGCAGCTCCTGCCGCTGCCGGCTCACCAGGGCGCACATCATGGCCAGGTGCGGCTTCACGCTCTCCTCCACATGCCGGGCCATCGCCAGCTTGGGGCACTGTTGGCAAAGCCCCGGGCCATGGGGGAAGGGAGAACAGTTATCAGTAGGGACATGCCCAGGGGAGACAGGGGACACAGGGGAGCGGCGATGGGGCTGCAGGCACCCAGCTCTGACCGGGGACGGTAGAGGACACTCGGGAGGCCGCTGCCGGCCAGCAGAAGGAAGGACCGAAGGCTTCAGAGCAGCAAGGCAGGGACCAGAGAGGGCCTGGTCTACATCTGAGGCTTCAAGGACTAAGAAGGGGACAGACAGGGAAGAGGAGGGGCATCTCACCCTGTGTTTGCAGCCGGAGTCTTTGAACGGACACAGCACCAGGGCGGTGCTACAGCTCTCCTTCAGGTGGCCCGGCAGGTCCTCCCGAGCCACCGTGCCCACGCCACACTGGTTGGGGCAGGGCACGGGCAACCTCGGGCACTGGTACTGGTGGCTCTACGGCCACAGGGGCAGAGAGACAGCGGTCAACAGGCTGACCCCCACCCCCACCCCGCCACCTGCCCCACAGCCCGCGGCTCAGGGAGGGCCTCACCTGGATGGTGTCAAAGACGAACTCCTTGGCGCAGTAGGTGCAAGGCTGGGTACGCTTGGGGCACTCAGAGGAGGCATGCTGGGCCAGCAGGCGCCGCATCATGCGGGCACCACACTTGTTCTCGCAGTACACGCTCTCTTGGGGGCATACGCCCTCGTGGCTCTAGAAACGCCAGAGAGGCCGACTGAAGGGATCCCTGGGCCACCAGGCGACCCACTCACCCTGCGCCCTCCACCGGGCCCCACCCACCTCAAAGGCCTCCCCGCTGAAGTCGCAGCCACAAAACTCGCACTTGAGGCGCCGCTTGGGGCAGTCGTGCTGCAAGTGTGCAGGCAGGTCCCGGCGGCTCAGCTTGGTGGGGCAGCGATTGGGGCAGGGGATTACATTGAAGCTGCAGGTGTTCAGGTGGCTCTGTGGGGGAGCGAGACGGTCAGTGCCTGCCAAGAAAGGGGGAGCCCCCTCCCTCCCACCGGAGACTCACCTGTAGGTGGCGCAGCGGCCCACTCCAGCGGCAGCCCTCCTCACTGTGGATGCAGCGGATAGGCAGCCCCAACACCTGCACCTCCAGCTCCGGGTCTGGGTAGATCTGGGTAGACGGGGAGGAACCCGGCAGGGTCAGAGCCTGCTACAGTCCCCAGTTTCCACCCCCACCACCCCCAGACGGGCCAGCTCTACCTAAGAGTCGGTAACAGCCTCTCTTGAGCTATAGTCCCCTCTGTGCCGAGGGATGGAAGGCAGAGCAGGTGGTGTCTGCTCCAAAGCTGGATACCAGGGTCCCCAACATGCCTGCACGGGACACTCCCTCCTTCTGGAACAGCAGCCAATCAGCCTGCTCAGTTCCGGGCAGCCTCCGCATCCTCTGCTTCCTTCCTCTTGGTAGAGGGGTCTTGGCCCTCAGCCAGGGGCCTGGCTTGCCACCCAAAGGGGAGGGGAGCACTGCTTGCGAGCACAGAGCCGCTCTGTGCACCCCCTGGCACCCCCACAGGCTGGGCATTGTGCCTGCCCTCCAGGGCAAACACTGGCCTCATTTGCAAACTGGCCTGGTGGGAGGGAAGGGGCCACCTTTGTGGGGGCACAGGATTCCACAGGACCGGGTTGACACTGGCCCTGAGCCAACTGGCTGCCGGCAGCTCCAACCTCCACCAAGGGCAAAAGCCTGTAACTGGGGCCTCTGCCTGGCACTGTGGACTCACCTTGGCATAATCCAAAGGAAGTTGGTCCTCAGGGCATTTGAAGACTCCTTCACTGTGAAGGGGGAGGGGACAGAGTCAGGCTCCAGCTATGGGAAAGGAGAACCCAGGTCCCACCCCTCAACCAGGGCAGCCTCCCTCTCACTAGACCTGTCCTCAGCCAGAGGCCTGCAGGTACCCACTTGCCTAGCACCCCAGAAGATCCTAGCTCTTGTCCTGGGGAGAGGGTTGTGGGCCCAGTGGAGACAGACAGCTGCCTCAGACAGCATTTGGCCAACAGGTGGCAGCTGGTACCCCTCCCCCCTGGAGGGCAGCTGGACTGGGAGAGGGACAGGACACCTGCCCTCCACCCTGTTAAGTTTTCAGCGGCAGGGGGTGAGTGCTGAGATGAAGTGCCAGGGCTGCCCGGCCCCCAGCAGGGATCTCGTCCCAGAACCCAGGGCAAAGGTCAGCTTGGGGCCACTTTACCCCATCCCTTCCCTCCTCCCGTGAGGGTGTGCCTCCTAAAGCAAGGAGGAGGAGAGGCTCACTCTAAGGCACTGTTCACACTGCCATCCAGTCCTGACCACCTGCTTCTGCGAAGGGGCTGCGTGTTCCCATTTTGCAGATGAAAGAACCGAGACGGGGGGAGCAGCGGCTGGACGTCAGTCTGACTCCCCGCCTCACACAGGTTCTACTACCCCACAGACACCGAGGAGAGGCTGGCGCGACAAAAACCGCCCAAGCAAGCACAGCCAAGACTATGGTCACCGCAGGGCACGCGCTGAAAGCTTTCCGACCCTGCACCAACGAATCCACTGACACGCCTTCTTCTACCAACATGCCCTTGCTGACCCCAGCCAGGACCAGTCACACACACCTGGCATGGCCTGAGCAGAGCGAGGGCTCACCCAGTAGGGCTGAAGGCCCTCAGGCACGGCATTCCTGGCAGGTCTGAGTCAGGTAGGTGGGAGGCAGAGATCAAGGCAGAAGCGGAAGCCACATGGCAGCCCTGTCCACGACAGAACTTTGTAGGACCTGGGCAGTCCGTGCCCCGGCTGCCCAAAGGATTTCTAGCACCCGTCTCCCCTGACCCCCACTACCACCACCGGCCACGCCGCCAATACCAAGAACAATACGTGTCCAGGCACCGAAGAGGTGTGCCCGTGCCCACAGGGCAACCAGCCTTCCTGGACCGACCTGAGTAATAGCCCCGGCAGGAATGGGGAAAGAGGGGGGTGGGCCATGGGGGAGGGGTCTGCTGGGCTGCTCCAGGAATGTGCTGATTTAGTGGTTTTGGAGACAGGGAGGGGACTAAGGCAAGTCCCCAGGCTTCAGGCAGAAGATTAGTCGGAGCAGCTTGGGGCCCCGCCAGGACAAAGGTTCTGCGGGGGCTATGGACACCCTTGCTTGTAGGATAAGGGGTGGTGGTGAGGGACAGAGCCTGCTCAACCACTTCTTTCCTTCGGGGGCCTCAGCAGCATCGCTCAAGCTCTAGGGGAGGAGGCAGTGGAGGGGG